TCCCTTCAGGATGTGAGTGATCATGGCTCTCCATAACTTCCTATCCTTTGTAGCCCTTAGTAAAGTTTGTCTTTTTTTCTATATCTCCTAACCGATGTTCTGACAACGATTCACACAAAGCCCGTTCTACTTTTTCATTGTGTCACGTCGCTTCAGGATGTGAGTGATCATGGCTCTTCATAACTTCCTATCCTTTGTAGCCCTTAGTAAAGTTTGTCTTTTTTTCTATATCTCCTAACCGATGTTCTGACAACGATTCACACAAAGCCCGTTCTACTTCTTCATTGTGTCTCGTCCCTTCAGGATGTGAGTGATCATGGCTCTCCATAACGTCCTGTCCTTTGTAACCCTTAGTAAAGTTTGTCTTTTTTTCTATATATCCTAACCGATGTTCTGACAACGATTCACACAAAGCCCGTTCTACTTCTTCATTGTGTCTCGTCCCTTCAGGATGTGAGTGATCATGGCTCTCCATAACGTCCTGTCCTTTGAAACCCTTAGTAAAGTTTGTCATTTTTTCTATATCTCCTAACCGATGTTCTGACAACGATTCACACAAAGCCCGTTCTACTTCTTCATTGTGTCTCGTCCCTTCAGGATGTGAGTGATCATGGCTCTCCATAACGTCCTGTCCTTTGAAACCCTTAGTAAAGTTTGTCTTTTTTTTCTATATCTCTAACCGATGTTCTGACAACGATTCACACAAAGCCCGTTCTACTTCTTCATTGTGTCTCGTCCCTTCAGGATGTGGTGATCATGGCTCTCCATAACGTCCTGTCCTTTGAAACCCTTAGTAAAGTTTGTCTTTTTTTCTATATCTCCTAACCGATGTTCTGACAACGATCCACACAAAGCCCGTTCTACTTCTTGTTTGTGTCTCGTCCCTTCAGGATGTGAGTGATCATGGCTCTCCATAACGTCCTGTCCTTTGAAACCCTTAGTAAAGTTTGTCTTTTTTCTATATCTCTAACCGATGTTCTGACAACGATTCACAAAGCCCGTTCTACTTCTTCATTGTGTCTCGTCCCTTCAGTGTCTGAGTGATCATGGCTCTCCATAACTTCCTCTCCTTTGTAGCCCTTAGTAAAGTTTGTCATTTTTTCTATATCTCCTAACCGATGTTCTGACAACGATTCACACAAAGCTCGTTCATGGCTCACCATAACTTCCTCTCCTTTGTAACCCTTTGTAAAGTTTGTCTTTTTTTTCTATATCTCCTAACCGATGTTCTGACAATGATTCACACATAGCCCGTTCTACTTCTTCATTGTGTCTCGTCCCTTCAGGATATGAGTGATCATGGCTCTCCATAACTTCCTCTCCTTTGTAGCCCTTAGTAAAGTTTGTCATTTTTTCTATATCTCCTAACCGATGTTCTGACAACGATTCACACAAAGCCCGTTCTACTTCTTCATTGTGTCTCGTCCCTTCAGGATGTGAGTGATCATGGCTCTCCATAACTTCCTGTCCTTTGAAACCCTTAGTAAAGTTTGTCTTTTTTTCTATATCTCCTAACCGATGTTCTGACAACGATTCACACAAAGCGCGTTCTACTTCTTCATTGAGTCTCCTCCCTTCAGGATATGAGTGATCATGGCTCTCCATAACTTCCTGTCCTTTGTTGCCCGTAGTAAAGTTTGTCTTTTTTTCTATATCTCCTAACCGATGTTCTGACAACGATTCACACAAAGCCCGTTCTACTTCTTCATTGTGTCTCGTCCCTTCAGGATGTGAGTGATCATGGCTCTCCATAACTTCCTCTCCTTTTTAGCTCTTAGTAAAGTTTGTCTTTTTGCTATATCTCCTAAACTGTTTTCAGTCAACCATTCACACAAGCCCGTTCTTCTTCATCTTTGTGTCTCGTCCCTTCAGGATGTGAGTGATCATGGCTCTCCATAACTTCCTGTCATTTGTAGCCCTTAGGAAAGTCTATCTCTTTGCTACATCTCCTAATCTATTTTCTGTCAACCATTCACAAAAGCCCATTCTTCTTCTTCTTTGTGTCTCGTCTCTTCAGGATGTGAGTGATCTTGGCTCTCCATAACTTCCTGTCCTTTGTAGCCCTTAGTAAAGTTTGTCTTTTTCCTATATCTCCTAATCTGTTTTCTGTCAACCATTCACACAAGCCCGTTCTTCTTCTTCTTTGTGACTCGTCCCTTCAGGATGTGAGTGATCATGGCTCTCCATAACTTCCTCTCCTTTGTAGCCCTTAGTAAAGTTTGTCTTTTTCCTATATCTCCTAATCTGTTTTCTGTCAACCATTCACACAAGCCCGTTCTTCTTCTTCTTTATGACTCGTCCCTTCAGGATGTGAGTGATCATGGCTCTCCATAACTTCCTCTTCTTTGTAGCTCTTAGTAAAGTTTGTCTTTTTCCTATATCTCCTAAACTGTTTTCAGTCAACCATTCACACAAGCCCGTTCTTCTTCATCTTTGTGTCTCGTCCCTTCAGGATGTGTGTTATCATGGCTCTCCATAACTTCCTGTCCTTTGTAGCCCTTAGTAACGTTTGTCTTTTTCCTATGTCTCCTAAACTGTTTTCTGTCAACCATTCAGAAAAGCCCGTTCTTCTTCTTTTTTGTGTCTCGTCCCTTCAGGATGTGAGTGGTCATGTCTCTCCTTAACTTCCTCTTCCTTGTAGCCCTTAGTAAAGTTTTTCTTTCCCCTAATCTGTTTTCTGTCAACCATATACACAAGCTTGTTAAGTAGATTATGCGCTGCTTCTTTTCTGTCACCCTCATCTTCATTATGTTCTGTCAGTGTCATATCTTCCAAGCCGTCATTCCTCATCATATAGAAATGTCAACGGTCTCTTTTCGAGGTCCCGTGCGTGTCGTTTTTGTTTCCAGTTCCCATAAAATCTCATCGTTGTTGACATGTTCAGTCCATGGTATCGTTCTGTAGAGCCACATTCTTTTGCTTAATGTCTATTCACTGCCATATAGGACTAACGATATTACATATAATTTCGGTATTTTTTCTTTGTTTCCAATGTGTTATAGAAGACTAATCTGCTGATACTTGAGTTTGAACATAGATCGACCAAGAGCAAACACAGGCGATGTCAGTATTGAATTAAGTGGGTCACATGACCATGGGAGAAACGCATAAGTATATAGTAGCGTGACGTTTAAACGATCGCTATTTCTACTCTATCCTTTATTACTATACGGATCGCTATTTCTCTATACTATTCACCATACTATTTCTCTATACTGATCACTACACGGTGGTTACTATTCGAGCTAGTGTTATCGAGCAAGTACAATTAGTGTGAGTGTTATTCCAAGGCGTCTGACACCAGCATTGTTCAACAGCGTAACTGCAGTTGCATCGTCGATTACAAAGCCTTTACTACAACGAGCTTTACGAAAGTGACAACAAGTATTCGTTGACATTACAAAAGTGGCGACGAGTGTTTGTTGACATTACAAAACAATGTAATTTTCCTGTTTTTAATAATTTGCATAACATTTGGAAAGTATTTATCGCAATGCAGCTTCGAATTTCGTTAAAACAGTTTCTAGATATTTAAATTCGGGTAAAGCCACTAAGGCACAGGGGTTTCAGTGTGTTTAAGAATAGAAATATTAATAATGAGCAAGAAGAGAAAAGAGTAGTCAGGAGGACAGTAGATAGCGACTGACATTTCATTTAAATGTTTGAAGATTAAAATTGGCCGTAAAACGTGGAGTCGGAAGGGAGTTCTAAAAGAAAGGCAGCAAAGCCAGTAAAACACAAGGTTTACATGGTGTGGAAGAATTAGAAACAGAAATATTAATGATGAGCAAAATGAGAAGAGAGTAATCAGGAGGACTGTAGATAGCAATAGATATGGCATTTAAATTATTGCAGATTAAAGTTGGCTGGAAAGCATGGAACTGTGTTGGGGCGCACCCCCCTTCTCATCAGAATGGACTGATCTCTCTACTACTAATAGGACAGTTCTATAGAGTTCAGGAAGATCAGGTGACCATCACACTTCCGTCTCTCTACCGGAAGAGACAGCTGGCCTTTATACTCTTTCTGATTGTTACTGACTAACCTGCGTTCGTTTGACTACTAATCTCTCTGTTGTAAATACCTCTTCAGATATACCAGTATTTTTCCCTACGTATGTGTTTGTCCTTATTTCAATACACGCACGGGGAAACACTCAACATCTCAACAAACTGGAAGGGAGTTCCACAAGAAAGGCAGTAAAGCCACTAAGACACAAGGGTTATAGGGTATGAAAGAATTAGGAACAGAAACATTAATAATGAGTGGGAAGAGGAAAGAGTAATCAGAACAGTAGATAGCGACTGACATTGCATTTAAATTTTTGTAGATTAAAATTGGGTAGAAAGCATAGAATCGGAAGAGATTTCTACAAGTGAGAAGTGTGAGAGAAGAAACTCTCATCATAGAACTTACGACTACATCTAGCCAGCTCAACTGTAAATTGATGAGATCTCTACGCCAATCTAGTACTGTATGATTGCTTGTATATTGTCGTATTTAATGCCAATATTTTGCTGGCGTTACCAATACGAATAGTTACTTTACGATTGTACTGTTATCAAGTTGAACCGCCTATCACTGATGCCACATTTAGCATAATCATTTGAACATTTTATAAATGTAACTTAAACATCATATTTTTTCTTAAAAATATGACATTATCATTTTTTTCCTACTGATATTAATACAAGTATCACTTTTTAAATTACTGTGTCTACTAAATTTATTGCATAGTACTTTTAATATTACTATTATTTAAACTGCAACCATCGCATTTACACCGATTACAAAACTTTACTAAATTCACTCTCGCTAATATTACAACTAACCTTATTTCTACTGTTGCCATAAGTATTCCAAACACCCCCACCACAAGCCCAACCACCACTACCGCCGCCGCCATTACTACATTTCTCATTCTTATTGACATTAGTGTTGACCAACATGAAGGCTGCAGGGTAACTTGTCAATCCTACTTGAAGGAAATGAGTGTGTTTCTAATTAAAAGAGAAAAAGTGGATTATATTATATTGATTGGTTTCGTTGCTATAGCTGCATTCGTGACACACAAACGTACGCATGTACGCACAAAAAGAGTGATAGATAGATAGATAGATAGATAGATAGACAAATATGAACAGACTGAGATACATAGATAGATAGATATGAACAGATAGATAGATAAATATAACAGACTGATAGATAAATATGAACAGAGATAGATAGATAGATAGATATGAACAGATTGAGATAGATAGACATAGATTAACAAACTGAGATAGATAGACATACATTAACAAACTGAGATAGATAGACAGATAGATAGATAAATATAACAGATAGACAAATATGAACAGACTGAGATACATAGATAGATATGAACAGATAGATAGATAAATATAACAGACTGATAGATAAATATGAACAGAGATCGATAGATATGAACAGATTGAGATAGATAGACATAGATTAACAAACTGAGATAGATAGATAGATAGATATGAACAGACTGAGATAGACAGACATATATTAACAAACAGATAGATATGAACAGACTGAGATATATAGATATATCTTAAGAGACTGAGATAGGTTAATAGATATGAACAGACTGAGATAGAAAGATAGATATGAACAGACTGATAGACAAACAAATACATATAAAGAGAATGATAGATATGAACAGACTGGGATAGATAGATATGAACAGAGATAGATATGAAAAGACTGATATAAATAGATAGATATGAAAACTGAGATAGATAGATAAAAAATATAGACAGACTGAGATAGATAATGAACAAACTGGTAGATAGACACGTATGAAGAAACTGAGATTAGATAGATAGATATGAATAGGCTGATATATATATATATATATATATATATATATATATATATATATATATATATGTGTGTGTGTGTGTGTTTGTGTGTGTGTGTGTGTGTGTATACAAAAGAGGAATGTGAAGAGACTGATACTGATATAAAAATAGAAACAGAATAATATATATCTAGCGGGCTAGCAATGTAGATAGACAAAACATGATCGATATAAACAGACTGAGGTAGAGAACCCTAAGCATACTTGATAGGTAAATATAAACAGACTGATAATGTTTGCTTGTATGCGTGCGTGCATGCGTGTGTGTGTGTGTATGTGTGTGTAGAGAAAGATAGAGAGAGGAAGAAAGAGAGAGAGAGAGAAAAGAACACATTGACATAGAAAGAAGCAGGATGAAATGAACAGACTGAGATAAACAGATCAATCTGAATAAACTTTGATGTAGGCTGACTACTGAATCGATAGATAAACAAAAATCAATAATTATCACCAATGTAGATATAGATACAATACAACACCGTAGAAAATCTATACTATACTACTATAACAAGATATGTAACTAAAAGGGCCAAAACAATAATTTTGGCGTAATAATGGGTAGCTATGATGGTGCGTAAATATATGAGCTCGTAGGCATATACATAATCAACAAATTAGCAAATATAATTAAAAAAATATAATTAACAAAAAGATATATATTACGAAATTGTAACGCTAGAACAACAGATATAATAAAAAAGAAATAATAAATACCTTCAAAAACATCGGATTCTCAATTCTCAAAATGACATTCTGCAAAATAACATCACCAACTAAAATGGTAGAAACAAATAAAATTGACCACTTAACAACAAATGTTTAACCAATAGCATAATATACACAGCTACCGTAATTAATAACGTTAACACAGACGAAAAAATATATAATTGCTACAGAAAAAAAATAAAAGAAAGATATTACAATCACAAAATGTTTTTTGAAAGGAAAATACACAAACAACACAATTCAATAAAAATACATATGGGTCCAAAAAGAAAAAAATCACAACCAAAATCAAATAGAAAATTATAAAAAGGGTAACCCCATACAATATTAACAGTAAAAACTGTAAACTATGCTTAAAGGAAAAACTAATAATAATTAATTTTAGAAGCCAAAATAAACTCTTATACAAGAAAACTGAAATAATGGGGAAGTGTAGCCATATAAATAAATACATACTTTGCCATCTAAGCACTAATTAAAATAAACAAGACAAAATAAACATAAATTAAAATAATTATAAATTAAATTAAACAAATAAATAAGAAAACAAAATAATCTCATCAGGTGGTGATCAAAGATAGTTATAAAAGATTTAAAAAAAAATGCTTGTTATGAAACATCACTTCTTTTTATATTTTTAAAAAATTAGAATGACATAAGAAAAATTTCCATAAAGGAAAAGAAAGAAATATATAAATTTGCCATAAAAGGAAAAAAAGAGAAGAAATACACAGTGTAAAGCAGAAAAAAGAAGAGGACAATAAATCAATAAAAGGAAAAATAAAGAAGAAAGAGAAATAGAAAAAGGAAAAAATATAAGAAATCTTCCTTTCTCCAAAGAAAAGGAAAGAAGAGATGTAATATATCAAAAATTACAATTGCAAATAAAAAGAAAAAAAAAAAGAAAAGAAAAGAAAGAAGAAGGGAAAACAGAAGTTGTTGATTATAATTTAATCAAATGAATTAGAGAAATTATAATAAGAGTAATGTGAAGTATTGATTAGATAAGAGATTATTTTTAGTGAGGAATATATAAAAACTTAACGAATAAATGGCATCCTAGCAGAGAGAGAGAGAGAGAGAGAGAGAGAGAGAGAGAGAGAGGAGAGACAGAGAGAGAGACAGAGAGAGAGGGAGAGAGAGAGAGAGGAGAGAGAGAGGGAGAGAGAGAGAATGAGAGAGAGAGAGAGAGAGAGAGAGAGAGAGAGAGAGAGAGAGAGAGAGAGAGCAGAAAGGGTTAACGTGATGAAAATGAAAAGAAGTCAAATAGCTTTAGATGGTGGATACTTTTGGGGAGAGGATGAAAAATAATGAAAAGAAAAAAATTATAGTTATAAATAAAAATGAAAAGGAGATCGGTGCAATATGGACATTACGCATTGTCATAAGACAAAAAGAAATTGATGAAGATATCTTTACAGAAGTCAGGTTAAACTATAAACAGGTAATACACTTTCCATTATTATCCAAAGTTACGAAATTTAAAGATAGGAAGAAATCTGAACATGAGTTCAAATTCTGAACATCGCGCTTGTTCGGAAGTTCAGTCGCTGATCTATAGATGGATTTACTGCAGCTGCATAACGTAACTCTATAAGGATAACGTAGTTGTCTCCCTTTAGTATCATTGTGTCTTTCGTGGCTCTCACAAATCTATATCTAAGCATATCAAAGAAGTATAAGTAAAGAACCAGAACTTGTGGTAATGTCAAGAAGTGTCGCATTGTTACGCTAGAAAGTGAAACAGACATCATAAAACGAGGTGAAAGGTGGGAAAATTATAAACATAGCAGGTTCATATGGGTTGGATCTTTTTACTGTTACGACATTTTAAAGAATCAAGATCGCATTATGCAATATATGAGAAGTGCCTTTATTAATATTTACTAAGCTCAGTTTATTATGGCACAAGACCAGAGTAAAAAGGCATCCAATGAGAATCAAACTCACTAGAGTAGTAATGGTCTGTGAGAGTAGATTGCTAACCATTGCTCTATGGTGAGGTGCCCTTATTGATATTTACTAAGCTGAGTCTATTATGACACAAGGCCAGAGTAAAAGGGCATCCAGTAAGGATCAAACTCACTACAGTAGTAATGATCTGAGAGACTAGATTGCTAACCATTGCTCTATGGTGAGGTGCCCTTATTGATATTTACTAAGCTCAGTTTATTATGGCATAAGGCCAGAGTAATAGGACATCCAGTGAGGATCAAACTCACTACAGTAGTAATAGTCTGTGAGACTAGATTGCTAACCATTGCTCCATGGTGAGGTGCCCTTATTGATATTTATTAAGCTCAGTTTATCATGGCACAAGGCCACAGTAATAGGGCATCCAGTGAGGATCAAACTCTCTAAAATAGTAATGATCTGTGAGACTAGATTGCTAACCATTGCTCTATGGTGAGGTGCCCTTATTGATATTTACTAAGCTCAGTTTATTATGGCACAAGGCCAGAGTAATAGGGGATCCAGTGAGTTTTGTAACGACACGTTTCTCCGATGTATGTTGGGTTTGGTTTCTTCATGCTGGAATGAAAGACAAAATTGTGTGTAAGAAACATGCGTTGAAATTTTTAGGTTAAGTACAGCAATAAATTGAATTACCTTATCAGATCCGACGACCAAAAGTGTTTTTATATATTAGTGCCGTTGGTATCTGTTAGATTTTAAATTAGTCAACTCAGATTAGATTATGTATGTCATTTCCACTAGGACTTCAATCAACACTACACATTCTGCTGTTTGAAAAAAGGTAAAATATACATCTGACCAGCGACACCTTCTAAGCATGGTATTAATAAAAGTAATGTTCGAACGGCTTAATACCCTTGACATATTTGGGAAGGATATTAAAATAATCGATAAACTATAATAGCAGAAAACTGCCTGCATGTGGATAGAAAATGAATTCAATGAGTGGTTAAATACAAAATAAATAATAGAAATGTCCAACAAACAAAATTGAGAAAGTTTGCAATAAGAAAAGAAAAGAACAGGGCAAAAAAAAAAAAAAAAATAATATACAGCAAGCAAACAATATATGCAAGCCAAATTAACAAAGGCAAGGCAACGCTATTATGGCAAAAAGTTCACAAATTAAGAATTAGGGTTGACATATAAGAGCAAGTTCGGACAAGTGAACGTAGCTTTCTGACTTCAAGACAAGACAGACTGGGACTGAGTCATATGAAACTTGCGGACCAGCCTATTTTATTGGCTAGGAATGAATCCCAGCATACATTTGTGTGCTTTTTCCTATAAACTGGGGAATTATTTATTCAGTCATTCTTCCATAATTGGAGCCAACATTATGTAAGGCTCAGGCCTTTGGGTTATTGTTGAGAATTGTACGGTTAGCACACTCTAAATGCTTTTACTTATTCGTGAATCTTTTCTCTGCTCATCAGACTGGCATTTCTCTTTGCACATAGTTTTGTCTTTCATTCAAACCTGAAGAAATCGAACCCAATATACGTGGGCGAAATTGCTGTACGGTAAAGCACATCGGACCAAAAGGTGGTTTCTCCTATAAAGAGTGACGCATGTTCGATTTCTAGTTACAGTTGCATGAATAACATAGTAATAATAATAATAATAATAACAATAATAATAATAATAGTAATAATAATAATAATAATAATAATAATAATAATAATAATAATAGTGTCATATAGGAATAAAGTCTCGCAGCCGACATATGGGTTTGATCGCCAGAGAGCAAGCACAGTCGACCTCATCTTGAAATAATTAGATCACGTGACGGGTAAAGGAAATATATATATATGGGAATTAGCGGCATCTGACCCAGGATTGTTTGAAGGCGTAACTATTATTGTATCTGTGATTTACAAAGTCTCTCCTACAAATGAGCATTACAAAAATAAGTTGTCTGGAACTAGCAAAAAATAAATATACCCACAGACATAACAAGGTAGCGGCATATATGGACTGGAAGATATGCAAGAAGCACAAAATCGAAACTATTGAGAGATGGTGTGATCATCATCCAGACATGTAAGTATGATTTGCCAATTCAAACTGATAAGGAAATAAAAGCCAACAGATCTTATATTATCATAAAAGATAAGAAATTCAGGAAGTGTATGCTTACTGACATAGCAGTACCATCTGAGAGAAACACCTCCATAAAAATTATCGATAAATTGTCCAAATACAAGGACCTGGAGATCGAGATTAACAGGATGTGTGGGATGAAGAATCGGAACTCTGTGCCTTGTGAGAAAAAGAATGGACAATTTTACTAACAGTGTCCCAAGTAACATCAACATACAAGTTGCCCAGTAGATCGCCCTACTAGGAACATCACATATACTAAGAAAAGTGCTATCAATTAAATGAAAATTCTCCTATAGGGCCTAAGGACCATAGTTTGAACCCGACTCTACGGGATATAAAGCAGGATAACTTAACATACATAGATAATAATAATAATAATAATAATAATAATAATAATAATAATTACGGGAAGGAAACTGAAAGAAACTGGTATGAACACCACCCAGACCCGGTTACGGAGATAGGACCTGTTACAATTCTATGGGATTACACAATACACACTGACAGAACAATCAAGGCCAACCGGCCAGATATTGTTATTAAAGACCACAAACAAAAACGGTGCCTCCTTATTGACATGGCAGTCCCTGCTGACTGCAATGTATCTTTGAAGATATTCAAAAAGCTGTCAAAATACAAGGACCTTGAAATAGAAATCTCAAAAATGTGGCACATGGGAACATCAACAATCCCTGTTGTAGTTGGAGCCCTAGAACTGGTTGGAAAAGATTCCAGTAGACTAATTGAAGGGATTCCTGGAAGTCCATGCCTCAAAGAGATACAAAACATTGTTCTGACAAGTACAGCCCACACTTTACGAAGGGCTTTATCTATGTAATATTTTTTTTTGTCTGTGGAAAGTGTCATGATGCCATTTCTAACCTTAGGTCCCTGGGCGGGACCCAGAAAGAAACGTGTAAACGCCAGAAATCAAAGAAAATAATAATAATAATAATAATCAAAACAACAAAATACTAAGTATCAAAAATATTAAAAGGATCACAAAAATACAACTGTATTCTAAATGTTTAGTGCAGTGAAACCACAGAGAGGGAAATGTATGATACTAGGCAAAAGTGATAAGTCGAGCCCTAAGAATAAAACATCGGAACAACTAAGAAAAAATTTAAAAAGGGATAGAAATCATTTAAATATGTAAATCATTTAAATATGTAAAACATAAGGGAAACGCTATGTTGTCAAAAGTTAAAAATAAAGCAAAAAAAACAAAAAAAATCATTAGTAGAATGAAGTATAATAAAAAAAGTGGAGTATAATAAAAATAGAGATAAAGATAGGAAGAAATTTCAATCTATGTGTAGAGGAGAAACTACAGATTATAGAATTTAAGAACGAGAATAATTTGATAAGCGAAGGGAATGAAATTATTTTGAACTTTCGACATGCTGAGTCATTCCCTAAAAACGGGAAAAGAAAAATAAATGTCTAGAACGCCATTAAAACATTTAAGTATTTTGAAAATTGCTAACCATGAAACAGCGAAGTAAATAGGCAACAAAGAAAAAATAGTATTTGTTCATTATCTATCTATCTATCTATCTATCTATCTATCTTATTCTTATCTATATTATTCTTATCTATCTATCTATCTATCTATCTATCTATCTACCTATTTATATTATTCTTATCTATCTATCTATCTATCTATCTATCTATCTTATTCTTATCTATCTATATTATTCTTATCTATCTATCTATTTATATTATTCTTATCTATCTATCTATCTATCTATCTATCTATCTATCTATCTACTTAATTTGATTCTGGGTGTATGCCCATTGTTTAACGAATATATATTTATACGTGTGTGCATTTTCTTTTAATCGATCTTTATGCCTATAACCTGGTTATTTTGTTTTTATATTTGCACACAGTATGCACGTTTGTACCTTTATCTACCTTTTTGTTTTCGTTTTATTTTTCTTCGCAGTCTTAGGCCAATGACCTGCCAATCACAGGAGGGTGAAGGTGAAAAAAGTTAAAATGTCGTAGAAAAGAGCAGGCAGGTTTTTGTATATGTATGCGTGTGCAAATATTCACTCAAACATACATTCGCAAATTTATATGCACATTACGACATCTAAAGCCTATACGGAAAGAATAGAAAGATGGGAGAGAGGTACGGATTGAGAGAGAGAGAGAGAGAGAGAGAGAGAGAGAGAAAGAGAAAGAAAGAGAGAGTGAGAATGAGAGAGAAAATGAGAGAGAGTGAAAGAGAGGGAGACATAGAAAAAGAAATAGAATGAGAGGGAAAGAGAGAGAAAAACCAAAGTAGTGTGAGAATCAAATGATAGACATAAAAACATGTTTCGAGAGAAATAGAAATAATTATTTAGGAACATAAAAGTGACAGACATTGAGCGAAATAGATATATATATATATATATATATATATATATATATATATATATGTATTTGAACAGAAAAATAGTTAAACAGATACATATGAACACACTGACATAGATATGAACAAACTGATATATAAAGATAGATATGAACAGATAGCATAGGTAGAAATAGCTTGAGAAATATATAATATAATTATGCTTTCACTTATATATATATATATCTTTGTGTGTGTGTGTGTATGTGTGTGTGTGTCCTGACGTTCTGTACCATTCAGCTACAGAGAAGCGTCTGGTTATATGTATATATATCGATTTACTAAGCGTAGCTTAGATGTGGCACACAGTCAAAAGTACGGGGCATCCAATATATATATATATATGTATATATATATATAAAGTGATAGATAGAGGGCGAGATCTGTAAGAAGAGTCAAAGAACTCGTAACATTATCAAAAGATTTAGTGAAAAGAAAAGTAGAATAAGAAATGACGAAGAGAATCTTTGATTAGAATAGAGAGAGAGAGAGAGAGAGAGAGAGAGTGACAGGAGTCAGGATAAAATTGACTCATGTGGTTCTGAATTAATCCCATCATCCTTTTACTTTTTAACTTTTTATGTTTGTTTTTTGGTACTCTTCATTCGTTCATTCAGTCCTCTTTAATTTTTTTTGTTGGTGAGTAGATTCTCTTTTCTTTCTTTCTTTCTTTCTTTTTTTCTTTCTTCACCCTCTCTGCCCACAGAATGACTTTGATTAAATGTTTCTTAATCTCTGTAGTAAGTAATTCAACACTAACTCCAGCAAATTAAAGCAACTTTGAATGTGTGATTAGTTTTATTGAAAAGCAAAGACTAATTTTGGCGTTTGCAAGTGTCAGGAACGGGCAAAGGCAGCTGTCACCCTGGGACATAGACACGTGCCTGCCTCCAGGCACCCACCACTTCAGACATCGTCAAGAAGTGCGACTTGTTTTCTTTCTCTGTATCAATGGACTCGGCGCCTCTCTTTTCTCCAATTGGAGCAGCAGTTATCAAAAGACAGACGCTGCCCTTGTCTTTCTGTCTCACTTTCAGTGTCTCCGATAATGTTTAGTTGCATACGAAAACAAAGACTTCAGTCTTCAGTGTACTTTTTGATTTGATCACATTTTGCATATAAAGAAGTCGGAAAGTATTTGAAGACAAGATGCAGCTTAAGAATTCACTTAAAAACTATGGGGTATTGTTTTTTCTTAAATACTTTCAACAGACAATTTTATCCATACATAAAACATACATAAATAAATATCTGGGCAGTAAAATTAATATTTTCTCTAGTTTTGCCTTTTCGCTAACTAACATCATTTTCTGCTTTTTATCACTTACGTTATTTTGGAATATATATATATATATATATATATATATATATAGCGACTCCGGAGGTCGGGTTTGTCGGGTTTAGCTTCAAGTATATTTATTTCAAAGCAACACAAATCTTTCGTATTGTGTCGTTTTCATACTTGACTTCAACTGAATCCAAAATTAATTGTTTTAACTCCATGCCTCAAAATATTGACCGGAACACGTTTCATTGATTTTGGTCATAATAAAAAAGAAAAGCAAAAAAAAAAAAAAACAAAGAAAGAAGGCAAAAAGTGAATGAAATAAAATTAACGTGGCTAGTGGAGTTATGTTGATCTGAGCCCTATCTGAGGAGGAGACATTTAATAGACAATGCATTTTTTGGTTTAATTTTATAAATAATCTTTTTTAAGAAATAACTGGTATGGCATGTTTTTCAAAGAACGCATTTTAATTTCAAATTATTCTTCTCAAATATCCATTTTAGATAATTTATTCCGTACAGTATAAGATTTTTTAGGACAATGCATCAATTGAAAAGGAAAATTAAATTTAACTCGGCTTAAAGTCGGCAAAAATCAAAACAAGCCTTAACTCGTCGACTGGAAGCTTAGGGTGAAGAGTGTGACTGGGTTAGTATTGAGGAAATATGATATCGGTCAGCAGTACTGATCATAAACGTAAAATTCACAGAAAGAGAGATACATAAACACACTAACGCATATATATATTTATATATACAAACACACAAACGATAAATGCATACGTTATTTAAAAAACATATCTGGTTAGAGATTTTTAAAAGTTATATATTTTAGTTGGAGTAAAGGAATCATTTTAGCATCTAAGTTATACCAATAGTAGATTTTTTTCTATCAATAGTATATTTTGTTAAAGACTCTAATGATGACATGTTTATATATATATATATATATATATATATATATATATATATATATATATATATATATATATATATATACTAGTTTAAAAACCACCCTACCAGGCGGCATCTAGACTAGCTATTGTGGAGAGTATTTGATTGAGCCTTCACCAGAATAGGTAGGGAGGAGTAGATGCAATAGGCAACAATAAACTACAGAAGAACGTAAAATTGATCACTGCATTTAAGTATTGTACTAATGTTTAAGCTTACTTTTAAAAGAGGTTATAGTTGTTCCAACGAGAGAAAAGTGTATATTTTAAAAAAGAAGATAAACCGCAAACCTTTTTGGTTGAACTGTGGATTTTTTTATTTTAAAATAAATATTATACTCTATTTTCCATAATTCTGGTACACGTGGTTTCTGGTTTCGCAACCTTCTTGAAGCAAAGAGTAGATAGATTAAAAAATGAATTTGTAGCGTGGTAGTGATTCAAATGTCTTTCTTGGACATATATATATATATATATATATATATATATATATATATATATATATATATATAAGTTTCGTTAAAGACGACTGATAAGATACTGTGATTAAGCCTTTTATTTAATTTTTCTTGTATCGTACAAGTGTTTTCTTTTCTGGACTTAATGTATAAAAAACTGCACCTTCCACTTCAGAATGCTCCCAAAAGTTTTCAGTCGCGTTATTGTTGAGGGGAAAAGGCGGCCACTTCATCAAACGATTGCCTTTTCGAAACTCATTTTATTTAGATATTCACTAGTTTTTATTTTAATTTAAAAAAAAATTATTTTGGTGTATATAATAGGCATTCTTATACATAAAATGTTATTTTTGAAAGAATTTGACTCTGCTTGAACTATGCCTTTTTGTATGCCTTCAGAAACAATGATATATCACCAAAAAGCATCTGAAGTTATTAGGTGCTGCATTTCTTCACAGTGAAACAGTCTATGCAGAATACAGAATAGCACATCTTTTCCGATAAATTACCGTTCACAAGTTTGCACTTACAATACAGAAAAAAGGGAAATGAAAAAAAGAAAGAAGAAAGAATAAGGGGCTTAAAATAAAAAAAGAACAAGAGGGGAGAAAAGCATAGAAAGATGTGAGATAAAAAGAAAGAAAGAAAGAAAGAAAGAAAAAGTAGGAAAGAAAGAATAAGGAGCGTAAAATAAATAAATAAATAAAAAGGGGTAAAAGATAGAAAGAATAGAGATAAAAGAAAGAGAGAAAGAAAAAAGAAAGAGGGAAGTAAAACAAGGAAAGAAGAGGAAGGTAAAAGGTAGAAAGAAAAAAAAGAAAGAAAAAGAAAGAATGCATAAGGGGCGTAAAATAAATAATGAAAGGGGAGCAAGCGATAGAAAATAAATAATGAAAGGGGAGCAAGCGATAGAAGGAAGAAAGAAAGAAAGAAAAAAGAATGAGGGTCGAAAAGTAAAATAATGATAGAAAGAAGGGAGGTAAAAGAAAGAAAGGAATAAAAAGAAAGAAAGAAAGAAAGAAAGAGGGAGGTAAAATAAAGAAAGAAGAGGGAGGTAAAAAGGATAAAAAAGGGAGGTAAAAGAAAGAAAGAAAAAGAAAAAAGAAAGAAGAAAAAGAAAGAATAAGGGAAGTAAAATAAATAGAGGGGAGGAAACAATAAAAAGAAGGGAGATAAAATAAAGAAAGCATGAAAGAAAGAAAGAAAAAAGAAAGAAAGAAAGAAAAAACAAGAAATAAAGAACGAAAGAAAGAACGAAAGAAGAACGAAAGAAAGAAAGATAGGAAGAAAGTATAAGTGGTGTAAAATAAAGAAAAAAGAAGAGAAAGTTAAACTTTGCAATAAGGGTGATGAAAGAAAGAAAGTAAAAAGAAAGAAAGAAAAAAGAAAGAAAGAAAAAAGAAAGAAAGAAATAATAAGGGGCGTAAAATACAGAAAGAAGGAAGAGGGGAGTAAAACGTAGAAAGAAGGGCGATAAAAGAAACGAAGAAAGAAAAACGAAAGAAAAAGGGTGGTAAAATAAAGAAAAAAGAAGTGGGAGGTAAAAGGAAGAAAGAGGGTGGTAAAATAAATAAAGAAAGAAAGAAAGAAAGAAAGAAGGGAGTTAAAATAAATAAAGGAAGAAGCCATTTAAAATAAATAAATAACTTAAAAATTATAGAGATGAAAGCTACTGGGTTAACTCGACCAGTATATATTTGTTTCCACCACATTAAAACATATACTTTAATGCAGATACAACATTCAATTATTTAAGCTAATGTCGCTGAAGCAGAGAGTATTTTTTTACTGGCACCATTATCATTATATTACTTCTGTCGCTATCAGATGAACATGGATTCGACTTAAAAATAAAATAACTTCGTTATAACTTGTTATATCCTGAAATTTGTATTTCTTCCAATTACCCCACTTTTGTTTCCCTGTCTGTCTTTATTTTATTCAACTAGCTTTCACCATATTCTTTCTTACATATTTTTCTTCCACACGACTTTGTCAATTTTAAAGGAAACATAAAAAACATGACTTGCTTTTGAAGTGTTGAACACATAGTTCAATACAGGCAAAATGTACGCATGAAAGTTATGAAAAACATCTGGAATTGAATAACCCAGGGGCCGATATTATGTAATTAGTTTAGAATGACGCTGCAAAAATCTTTCTTTTGTACGATATCAATGCGATTAGATTAATAACCGGTCCCTTTTTCTCTTTATTTGTCAATTGTTCACTTGGTTTCATCTATTGCAATGATCGAACGCACATAACTATATTGTAACTATTACTATCTTTCCAACATCAAACGCTGCATTCGACTTCAAATACTTACGGTTGCCATAACTCATACACGGAGATGACTTTGCCATTTTTGTTCGACATGCATATTAGTTTTTTTTCCGGTGGCAAACTTCGTAGATCTTTTTATCTGTAAAATTTTCTTTATAGGATAATAATTTTATTCGCTCTATAATTTGACTATTTTAGGAAATTACCTGATATTTCATGGTTTATACTTATGTTCTTAAATAAGATCGTCATATCAAGACTTCGTATGGATGCCATATGCATGGCGCCACACCTGTTCAGAAATATAAAAACTGTCAGCTGTATACAAAAGCTTCCTAAGATCAATGGCGAAAAAAGGCTTTGAGCGAGTAAAGCCTGTGTGTTCTGGTAAAGATCATCCTTCTTTGAATATAGACTGGCGCTACAGATTCAAAAAGAATCGTAGAAAATAACAAAAAATCACATCTCTTGAGGACTACCAGCAGCAATAACTAAAATGGATAACATAGATAGAAGAGAAAATAATGACATAATCAAGATGTTAACATTCCACCACTTCAAATAAAAAGGTTAGGAAGGAAAACCCCTATCAGTACTGGAAGAGGGATAAAAGTTACTGGACCTGTTTTCATAAAAATTCATTTTAAGAAAAAGATTTTATAAATTTCAACCGAAAACAGTATTAGCTGCTCAGTCAATGAATGCCAAATGTTCCCTTGTGCGGAAACGATTAATATTACCGTTATCCTTGCCATACTGGTGCGAAAGAATACTTTATGATCTTACTTATTATAAAACGCAGATTGTGTGTGTGTCTGTACGTTTATTGGGATTGGTTTTCCTACATTTTTCAAACGATTTCAACAAAACTTCACAGGACTACGTAAAATTACCTTGCGCTGCTTCTGACAGCGCCAAAAATGGGAAAAACACAATTGTTTTTGCACAAAATGAATTTGAAAACACGATTAAGAAGCATCACTCGCCAGAATGAAAGGGGGACAACTCATATCGAGTTATATTTATTATAAAACCCAGGTTGTTTGTGTGTGTTCATTTATATATGGGATCGGATTTCCTACATTTTTCAACCGATTTCAACAAAACTTCACTTTTTTTTTTGGCAGGTAGTGTTTCTTATTGTCTTGCACACTTTTTTTCTTTATTTTTTACATTCAGAATGCTTTAAAAATTCCATTTACAAGACAATTGTTTATAATAAAAAATTCTATTCAATCGATAGACTCATAACGATTGAAAACAATGTTTTTGTTTGAGTTTGGGTTTGACCAATTCGTAAAAAACAAAACAAAACAAAAAAAAACAAACAAAAAAACAATTAAGACATGCGTGTCCGTCAACCTTAAACAATAATCTTTGTCAATTTTATTTTTTAGTCTTTATGATGGTCGATACTTGATCTATCTCTTACTGTTACATCCCCGGACAACGCCGGGCTCTACTGCTAGTTACTTATAAATTACTTATAAAATGCTGGTCAACAGCAGCATTTTTTAAATTTATTTTTTAGCATATTTTTAAATTTAAAAGTGAAGAGGTTTTTAATCTTTTTGTAAGTTATGATCAATTGTTGCTGCATTCGTTATTTATTCCTTTGCTGATTGGTCCATGTAAATTTATCATCATGTGTAGTTGATAAGACAAAGTGGAAATGACTTATAAACGACGCGTTTCGCCGACGTCTGTTGGTCACGGTTTCTTCAATTAAAAATGAAAGACAAAACAAAGGTTCACTATAGCATCTTTTACTTAACAACGAAAAGTGAAAATAGCACAACTCTTTCAACACTTGTATGGGAATATAAAACAAAAACTAAAACTCATGGGAAATAAAAGAACAAAACAAAACAGCACCAGATTATAAAAACACATCAAAACGTAGTAGCCTTTTCCTAGAGTAGAAATAGCCATAATAATCTTAACAGAACAAGATAAACTCCTAAACAAACAATTATTTCTAAATTTCAGGCACGTATACAAATTCAAAATACATTACCTATACCTACATGATGACTCAAAAGGCTAAATAAAATCCAATAACCTAAATCTAATAAACTTATTTCAAATGCCAACATTTAGAACTTGGGAATACAAAAAATGCAAATATCTAAATAAATAGAGTAATCAATGAGGGCAAATAATATAAAACATTATTTCTAAACGAAAGACCTAGGAGAGACTGGTTTCCTTCTTCCCTAAAGCACTAACTGCACACACACACACACACACACACACACACACACACACACATATATATATGGTACAAGTTTTCCGCAAGGACACACGTCCCAGTGATATAAACCTTGTTTGAAGTAATCCAGTGACTTGACCAAAAGAATTGTGAGTTCACTGCAGAAGGGAATTAAAGGGAATTAACAGAAAAGGCATGGCACGTGGAACTAGAACAATCTACTCCCGTTGACTAAATAAATGGTTCTGTTCGAAATTTCAACGTATATTACCTGAAGAAGGCCGGAGCGTACAACGGCCGGAACGGCGAGAATATAACAATAAAGATGAGGACAGTAGTCCGAACAATGTAAATAGTGTAAATATAGTACGTGTACTGATACAACGTCTGAAGATCTTTTGAGGTCTGAAACTATCACCATGAAGCGTTGATTTCTGGCCTTCGTTTCTGTCTACAAACTGTATTTCTCTCCACCATAAATATAGTCAATTTTAAGAAATGTATGTGTCTGTGTGCGTGTGTTTATATATTTATTTATTAAAGACATTTTAATGTTTATGTTTATGTTTATAAAGACATTTTTATGTTTATGTTTTATAGATACAAGTATTTAAGTAAATGCATTTACTTAAATACTTGTATCTATACAAAAGAACGTTAAACATAAAAATGTCTTTAATAAATAAATTGTCGGACTTTGTCCATTTCTTAATATATATATATATATTTAGGTCTGATACTAGGGAAGTTGGTTCACTGTGTCATGATAGACAGTTTTCTCATGTGACATATTTATTCGTAATTATATTTCAACATTGCTGCCACTTTTAGTCTGATGTTACATATTTAGAGATCTGTTATTTTATTGTTCCTGATCTGGCATCTCGGTTTCAGTCATTTCCCCACCACATTAACGTAACTTCCTTCTGCTTTTACTGTAAATATTTGCATGGAAATTGTTCTGAAGAACTTACATCTATGGTAACTAGTCTTTATGAATTTAAGCGCACGAGTAGATAGACGGGAAAGTCTCATTATTTTACAGTTGGAAATGGCTAGATGTAACCGTAAGTTCTGTATTAACAGCTTCTTTCCTTGCACTTCGCGCTTGTGTAATTCTTTTCCGGTTTCTTGATTTTCAGTCAAGTATGATATTCAAATATTTAAATTCAATGTCAATCTTTATCTTCTGTCTTTTTAAAAACTTTTTTTTTCTCGGTCTCGCTTCTTAATAATGCATCTTTTACTTATATTCTTTTACACTCGGTATCTACCTGCGTCTTAGTGGCCTTTGCTTGGGGTGAAATGATTATATATATATATATATATATATATATATATATATATATATATATTTTAAAGACATTTTATTATATTTTAACGTTGTTGTTTTATAGATACAAGTATTTAAGCAAATGCTCTTTTTATGATAAACAGTATTAAATAACATTTACCGGCCTGAATGTCGAAATTTTGTTAGAAAATATTCGTTCTTTGATTTTCTGAAATATGAAAATAAATTCTCGTTAAACATTAAATGTCTTAATAAATAAATTGTCGGACCTTGTCCATTTCTTCTAATATATATATATATATATATATATATATATATATATATATAAGGAATACTAGAAAATATTCCTCTAAAGCTAGTGAATGTTTTTGGAAAGACTGCACTTGATGTAATCACAATAAAGAGATAGGTTAGTGGAGTTAATGAAAATCATAGAGAGAAATGAGAAACTTATCTTGGTGACAAGCCAGCACCGAACACACACACACACACACACACACACACACACACACACACACACACACACACATATATATATATATATATATATATATATATATGCGTGGACGCACGCACGCACACACCAACACAAGTACAAAAGTACAATCACTATACTTGCATTATAGTGAAACATATCATTAAACATATACTCAAGCAAGCATATATATATATATATATATATATATATATATATATATATATATATATATATATATAAGAAATATAGTCTTAAGATGTGCTATATTTATCGGATAAAGTGCTCATTGTCAGAGATAGAGGGTGTGTAAATATAAAGTGAACATAGAAGTCAACACTTAGAGGTGACAGGCTGTTTCA